AATCCCTATTCTACACACGAGTGCGTCGAATGCGACCAACAAAAACAAAGACAAGGGTTCATCAGCAAAAAGATAGGCAATCAAACATGGCATCCATTCTGTAATCATACACATAACACATCAGAGATGGGAGAGTCGCGAGGGCAAATGTGAGCAAGAACCCCAGATCCAAATTCCGAGAAATTGAAAAGAACGGGCAAACTGCCCGAAGCCGAAATCAAAATTTATGTACACAAGACAAGAGGGAGAAAAGATAAGGAAACAACAAAACCTCGTCCATCAACCTCAACTCTCTCTCTCTTGCTCTTCTTCTCCGATGTGGACAATCCGTCGTCGCGCACCAACCCACGAAGCCGTCACCCCGCTTAGTCCTCCCGCACCCGTCAGGTTCGCCCGCGCCCACAGTCCGTCGTGGCCCGTGTTAACCCCGTTCGTTTGGCACCAGCTCGTCGGGCCGCCCGACTCCTGCTCTACTCACCTCTTACTTCGCTCGTGTGCCGACCCTTCTGGATCGCGCAACCCCGAGCTTTGAACAGCTGGTTAAGAGAGCCAACTAATCGCGCAGCCGAGATTTATAGCGTGACAGCATGCGCGAAGAACACGGAATTACCAAGACTTAGAGGGGAGATTAGAGAGGGAGTGCCTACGTTCTGCATGACCGGGCCGCGGCGTGGGGGACGTAGCCACTCTCCACCCATTGATCTGAGCATGCAGTCTGTAGTCTAAAAAACGCAGCAAAAGAAAGAGAAGGAGGGCGGGAAGGACGAAGAGCAAGAAGAAAGATACAGTTACAATGGCGCCAACCCAAGATTACAGTTACACACCCGATTNCAAAAGAAAGAGAAGGAGGGCGGGAAGGACGAAGAGCAAGAAGAAAGATACAGTTACAATGGCGCCAACCCAAGATTACAGTTACACACCCGATTTAAGGCGCCGTCTAATCAGAATTCCGTTCCAGCCGCAAAAAAGAAGCGCGTAAGCAAGAAAAAGGGCGCCGCGCGGCAAAAGAAAGTCCTGATTACAAAATTCCTAAATTCCTAACTAATGCGAAAGGCAAAAGTACAGGTTCCGAGAAGGAAATCCGGAATTCCGAGAGCCATCAGGGCTCGACAAAATTCAAAAAAGATTTGAAAGAAAAGTCCAAAAAGAACGAAGCAATTTCCCGCGCAATGTCCGCGCCCAATAGATCGACGTCAACATTTATTAATCGCGCTCGCAATGGCATGCCAGCCATTCGGTCAACCAATCAATCAACCGGCCATCCCTGAACACACCCAGCTCCGAACCCAGCCATCCGAAAAGAAGTGACGAAAAAGACGAAAATGCAAGGACACTGATGCAATTTCCTACCGATCCCGATCTCCTGTAATTAGCCCAACCTTCCCAACATAGGACCCCTCATTGCAACCGCGCAGAAAGTCGCGCGTTACAGAAAGTGGTTCGTCACAACGCGACAGTTCGAGCAAATCCAGGACTGGTAGCTGTCCGTGGCGTTTTCCTGGAAACCCCGCAGTCCAAAAAAAATTGAAACGGTGTGCGGGCCGCAGGGCCTTGAAATTCGAATCTGAGATGGTGGACCCAGGCCTGAAACGGCGTGCGGACCGCAGAGCCTTGGAATTCGAATTTGAAACGGTGTGGACCCCGGTTATCTGCGTGCCATCTGGATTTGTTCCGCGCCATCTCTCTCTCTCTCTCTCTCTCTCTCTCTCTCTCTCTCTCTCTCTCTCTCTCTCTCTCTCTCTCT